TAGGGCTGAGAACCATGGTGTGTTCACGCGCTAGGGTGCCACCAGGAGAGCTGTCAATCCCTCCTCCTGAACTCGGTTCAGGAAACCGTAAAATCAGAGGAGGTGGAGGAAACGCGTGCAGAAGCGTTTTGGACCATGGGCTGTAGGGAAATGCATCCATCCCCAGTGGTGGTTTGTCTCGCGGTCTCAAGGAAAACCATAGTTGACACTGAGCGTTCTCTCGTGTCGCAAACAGGTCCACAGCTGCTTTGCCAAATTTCTGCCGCGTCTGAGCCATCAGGCCTGGATAGAGAGTCCAGTCCCCGTGACGTGGACCGTCCCTGGACATCACATCTGCCCCTTGTTCAGAACACTGGGTATGTAAACTGCTCTGATGGAGAGCAGATTTTGGTGAGCCCAACACAGTAGCTTTCGTGCAATGTGTAATATCTGGACTGAGCGCATACCCCCCTGCTGGTTTATGTACGCAGCAGTCACCTTGTTGTCTGTGTAAATCGATACATGTTGGTTCTGTAGCACGGGAGCAAAGTGCTGAATCACATTCAGCACCGTGACACACTCCAAAAACATTTATGTGGGCTGATGTGTGATGGGCCACAGTGCCCCTACTGCTTGAGATAGGCATGTCCCCCCCCAGCCTGACAGCGACGCCGTCCATGAAGACTGACACGTGACGTTGGTCTGCTGACGGAGGCTCCCTCCGACAGAACCAGGGTGTTTCCCCAGTGTCAGAGGTCTGCTCTCACGGAGGGAGGGACAGTGATCATCCGTCTCTTTGTTTTACTGGATCCACACGCAGACGCACAAACTACCTCTGGCGGCGTCTCATGTGTAATAAACCCAGCGGGACCACTGTGTGAACTGATGACATCATTCCTAACAGCTTCATGACAGGGACAGCTGTTACCACTCTGCCAGGTCTTACGTGGCGGAGCTGGTCTCTAAAAGTGTCAATTCTCGTTTGTGATAAACGAGCCTTCATGGTGGTTGAATCTAACTCCACTCCCAGATAAACAATTGTCTGGGCCGGGAAAATTGAGCTTTTCTTCCAATTTATGGCAAAAAACTCAGATGTGACAGGTGTGATGTCAACACCTGAGCTTGCATCACTGCTTCCTGTCTGGAGCGTGACCAAAACTCTCATCTCTGCTCTGTGTAACAGATGCAGGGCTGTCTCCACACACTGAGAACGTACGAGGCGCGAGGGAATACCCGACCGGCAGCACTTTGTACTGATACTTCATCCCCTGAAAGGAGAAAACGCAGGAATTTTCTGTGTTTTGGGATGATCGGTATGCATTTCTCTGGATGTTGTTCAACAGCTGACTGGTTGTCAACATGTGAAAAAACGGTCTGTCCATGATCGCCTTGTTGAGACTGACAGATCCAAAATCGATCTCATCCCTCCGATCCGTTTGGGAACCAGGAAGTAACGTGAGTAAAACCCTGTGTTTTCCTCTCCGTTGGGAACCCTGGAGATTACTTTTATCAGAAGCACTTGAACTTCTGCATTTAGGGATGAGATTTGGTCTGGTGATGACAGGACCGTCTCTATAACTCTTCTGAACGGAGGGGGTCGTGTTGCAAACTGTAACTATTTGCATAACACCTTGTCCATCCATCTGACCGGCGAGCATGTTTTAGCCACTCTACGTAACGTTCGTGGAGTGAACGTGCGTTTAAGTGATGCATCGTGTTTTGTACGGCTGTCACCAGTCCGCCCCTCAACCGCTGTCATGCGTCGCGGGAATGTCTTCCGCGTGACCCAAGGCGAGGCTTCCTCGAAAAAAAGGCTCTGAACGCGCCCGTGCGCTGCATTCGAACCGCGGACCAACCTTCATGTACAGGTGGGCCGGTGTGTGCTGAGGCGAAGCGTGTGACAGCTGATGACGCCGTGGGGCTGCGCGTTCAACGTCGCTGTGCGAACGTTGAGAGGCGGAGGGCGTGACTTCATCTACGCCGTGCTGTTGGAGTGAAGGCTGAGAGCCCCGCGGGAGCACACGTTTTCTCTGGAGGGACGCGCGCCGCTCTCGCCGGAGGGACGCGCACTGCTCCCGCCGGAGGCGGGATTCGTCACCGGGTTTGTTCGTCTCACGCTTATGCTGCCGTGAGCTGCCGAGTGCAGAGACGCGATGGGTGACGGCTGCTCGCGTTTGCTTCGGTGAGGCGTGTGTTGCTCTTGTGAGAGCGAGGACCTCCACCCGACCCGGCCTGCGGTCCCACATTCATACCGATGTGAGCCGGTGAGCGCCGGGCAGCTGTGTGTGTGCGCCATCAACGTAGCGCCGTTGGATGAAGACTGTTTTCATTGCACGAGTGCGCATTTGACACCGCTTGGGTGAGGATCGTGCAGCTCGGATTGACAACAAGTTATTTTGCTTACCATTGTGTCGTGTGATTGACTCGTCATGTCTTGGAGCGGCGGTGAGTTTTAAAAAACCTTTATTAAAGGACACAGGCTCATTATGTGTGGAGGATGTGTGCGCAGCCGCTGTGAGGTCATCCGAGCTTACAGACTGGCTAAAAACAGACACTTCGATCATTGAATGATGATTTATTTCAACTTTCGTGTCACTTTTACACACACCCTCCGTAGACCGTCATTTTTTTAAAACTTCTCCCCTTTGAGCTCTGGGATTTGTTTGCCCAGAGCGCTGTCTTGTAGGCGATCTCTGGGGAAACGCTGAACTGCAGGTTGCCGGGATGAAGAGGGCTGAACTCTGACGGGCGGGGCTGGTGGTGGAGCTGAGCAAGACGCCGCCGCCATGGCCGGGATGAGCCGCGCGGCTTGATGAGGTGGTGCACGGCCTCTGGCACCTCCTCCGACTGCTTCGAGTTTGCCAGCGTGGTTTTGAAGCTGCTCCTGAACGGCGTGTCCGCCGTGATGGGGCCCTCCATCAGGTCTTTGTGCAGTTTCTCCGGCAGCGAGGGAGAGTGACGGAGCTAGGTGGATGTTGAATCATCGTCATCCACGCTGCAATCCTGGACAGGCAAACCGTAGAAGAGGCACACATACTGAGGATGGCGTAGGCTGCCTTACAGAGGGAGTTCTTGGTCTCCTAAGGCAGGTCTGCGGCCTCCAGCTCCCACATGCTAACTGCTAGCAGCGCCACGTTGTTGTTAGCTGCGACTGCCTGAAAAGCACATTGATGGGCTCGATTGGAGAGCGTGGTCACCGTTTGGTCGTGTTTCCCAGGAGGGACGGGACGCTGATCCAACCTGGACAGCTTCGCTCCGAAAGCTTCCGCGAGGCTTGGCTCAAGGGGGGTTACCGAGGGATAGCCCCGCTCGGTGAACCCCTCCACTCTGGTGATGGGTGCGGACTAGAGACCGGCTCCCCCAATCTACCAGGAAAGAACCGTCTGTGGCCGCGCCCGTAGGACGTCCTGTTGGAACACGAGGCCATATGGATCAAGACGTTGGGCCGGAATGGAGCCCGGTAAACAACCTTCCCGCCGGATCATCCGAACTGATAGAAAAAAAGGGGTCCCATCATGTCAGCCTCCTCCTGGGTTACGCCGGGCAACCCCTGAGGGCGCCGTCGGCCGGGAGCGGTGTGATCGCCGATGCGAACGAGGTGGGATGGGGTGAGCATTCACTCAGCCCCCCTCCACCGACACTACGCTCTCCAGGAGGGAATGAGCAGCGGGGGCTGCAGCTGAGCACGCCTGTCCCGGAGGAACCATCCGATTCGCTCCGAGGGTCGGCGATAAGAGGAAAAAATTACAAGATGGCGTTGTCCAGCGTGTAGTGACCTGTCACTGAGAAATATTCCTCGGCGCATACCTTGAAATAAGACTGCTCGTCAGCTTCTCCTCGGGGAGGAGAACTCACCGGACGACCGGAGGTCGACTGCCGGGCCAAGCATCCTTAACAAAGGTTGGTCATTTACACAATTTTCCTTCTTTGTTCTTCTGACAGTGCTAATTAGCTCGATGAAGAAAAAATGGGAGCCGATTTCCCGCCCTTAACGTAATTTATACGGACCGGGTGGGGCCCACACAGCAGGTGGGCGTGGACTAAATTTTTTCAGTGCTTATGCTCCACATAACGGGATAAACCCACTAAAGCGAAGGCCTTAAAGGGCGAAGCCTATACGAAATAGAACACCGTCTCGTGTTTTCCTAACACGTCAGTCCACATGAAACCACACTTAGTTATGCCCCCTCACACGCTGACAGGTTGAGCTCCCCTTCTGCGCAAGGTGGAGTCTAGGACCCCATAAATGAGTGACGACACGGGACTTGGGGGCTCTTCCGGTTCTGTGAGCGCATCACAGTCCAGGGAGTTCAGCGCTGTGAAATTGTAATCTTCTCCTGCCTTGTTTAATATAATTGGTAAAACTCAATGGATGTTTCCTTGATTTATTTGTTAGCATGAGTTGCCACTTCTGAAGGAGGTTCGAGCCGGGGGTAAAGACATGAGCTGGAGGGGGTTTCCGGATCCAGTGTCCAGCTCCCGTCCGTCTTTAACAACCCATAAAGGAAGAAGTGGGTAAAGATAATGGATGGATAGAGAAAGCCAAGTAGCTAAGCTAATCCAATACTGGTAATTTATGTTACTGATTTTATGCACTTCTATATTTGCTCCTATTTTTGGTAGAATATAAAATTATGCAAAAAGATTTGATACAGTAAGGAACCTAAAATTATTGTTTTAAATGAATGTTCTATTTGTTTACATTTTTGTATAATCTTTTCATATCGTCAATTACACAATTTAAACAAAATTTGTGACCATTTCAATAGAAACATAATTTCCGAATCAACTCGTGACACCAAAAATCGGATTCAAATCACCAGACACAGAGATTTGCATCCTTATTTTCACAAAATGAAAATACAAAAAAAAAAAAAACACAAAACTGTGACAAAATATTATTGATCCATATTCACAGGCGTACATTAAAATCATTTTTGAATATAGACCAGCAAGAAAGGCACCAATCAACTAGTCAAAACAAGAAAAACGCACAGTAGTTTTATTTTTATTTAACTTACCAACACAAAAGTTCTCTAATCTTTTGATGTGGGGGCGAGATTGAAACTTCCTGTGGAAACAGATGAGCAGAATGTTGGTAGCGTTACAGCTTCGAGAGCTAACATGTGTTTATGTACAGTACAGTGTTTGTACCAAACAAGTCGTTAATGGGGCCTACATTACCCAAGCACGAAACGTAGCTGCTAACAGCTGCTAACATCTACAGCTGCTAACATCTACTGATGCTAACAGCTTCAGATGCTAACATACAATAAGCTGCAGCGTTACAAGCCTCTGGCAGCAGCAACTTGAAACTAAATCACACAATAAACTCTTTCACTCAGAAGAAGCCTTTTTTCATTAGTAATTGAAATAAATCACGAAGATACATACAAGGTTACGTAGCTTCGATCGCGTAACTTTTTTTCTTCTTCTTCTTCTATTGATACTTTCTTCTTCTTCTTCTTCTTCTCGTTTTGTGTTTTGGCGGTTGACAGACCAACGTAAAGTGCATTACCGCCACCTACTGAGCTGGAGTGTGGACAGGAGATATATAAAAAAAAAAAACTAAAAAAAAAACTAATTCTGTGAAATTAATTTAGCACCTCAACTAAATTATTTCCATTAAGTTTGTATCCCTCAAGAAAATACCAATTTGGTTTTTAACTTTGCTGATGTTACTACTAAAAACATATCTAAATGTAAATTGAATATTAATTTTATTTATTTCTTTTTGGAGAAGCTTTCTTTCTGCGTTATACCCAGGGCATTCCATAATGACATGCTGTACTGTTTCAGGGAGACTGCTGGTGCATTTGTTACATAGTCCTGTTGCATGTTTACCTATTATTTTCAAATATTTATTAAGTCCAGTGTGTCCTATTCTAATTCGAGTAATTATTGATTCTAATCTCCTGTTACTTCCAGTTTTTCTTGTATAACCTACTTTTTCCTGTATGTTATGTAAATGTCTTCCTGTGTCAGTTATGTCCCAGTTCTCCTGCCATGCTTCCTTAATATATGTATTTATTATCATTTTACATTCGTCTTTACATAGTGGTATGTCATAATTAATATTTATTAATTTTACTGCCTGTTTTGCTAGAAAGTCCGCACCTTCATTACCCTCTAGTCTTAAGTCTACAGATATCTGCCTCATGTCAAGTGTATATAAAATGTGGTGGATCCTGTCAATTATGTCTTTTCTTTTTGAGTTATTTGAATTGATGCTTAATAAAGCTGCCATGTTATCTGATGCTATTACATATTTTTTATCATTATGTTTTTCTATCCACTCTAAACCCATAAGTATTGCTAATAATTCTACTGAGTACACTGTCAAATTATCGGTTGTTCTTTTCTTTATCTCTATATTTTGGCTTGGTATGAATATTGCCTCTCCAGTACGTCCTGACTCGAGATCTTTCGAGCCATCTGTAAATATTATAATCTTATTCCCATATTGTTTATTGATGAATTGTTGCACTAATAAATGTTCTGAGATATGCTTTCCTTTATTTTTAATTAATTGGTGTAAAGATAGATCAACAGAGGGGTTAGTAAATAGCCAATGTGGAATGTTAGAAGAACAACTGTTGGACATATGTTTAATTCATGTAATCCTGCATACTCTGCTTTTATATTCCCTATCCAGCCAAAACTATAGATATCAGTTTTTTGATGCTCCCAACATTCTTGTAAGATTTTATGAATAGGATGAGATTGATTATGTCCTTTAACAGTAACCCAATATACCAACATTTGTTTTAATCTTCTGAGTCTTAAAGGCATTTCCTCCATTTCTACCTGTAAAGCCGCAATTGGTGACGTTCTAAAAGCTCCACTGCATATTCTGAGTGCTTTTGATTGTTCTATATCAAGAAACTTTAAATTTGTTTCTGCTGCTGCCAAATAACTGATGCTGCCATAATCCATTGTTGATCTCATAAGAGATTGATATATATTTATTAAAGATTTCCTAGTTGCTCCCCATTCCCTTCCTGCTAAACAACGTAGTATATTATTAACATTTTTACATTTTATTCTAACTTTATCAACATGTTGCTTCCAAGTAAGTTTTTCGTCAAAAATCATTCCTAGAAATCTTATATCTTTAACCTGTTCAAGGTTTTGATCATATAGTTTTAAAGAAATAGTTTTATGTTTTTTAGAAAAGCAGATAGTCTGAGATTTTGTACTTGAAAACTTAAAACCCTATTTATTGGACCATACTTCAACTTCATTAATTGCCTTTTGCTTTTTATTCCTAATATATTTTAGATTGCGACCTCGAATCCACAAAGCTCCATCATCCGCAAATAAAGATTTACTTATTCCAGGATCTATTTTATCAAATATATCATTGATCATTATTAAGAACAGTAGTGGGCTACACACACTCCCTTGAGGTGTACCATTCTCCACAATATATTTATTTGAGAATTCCTTTCCCACTCGAACTTCTATTGTTCTTTTAAATAAGAATTTTTTTTATCCAATTAAATAGCTTTCCTTTCATCCCAAGTGTTTCTAGTTTTATTAATAAACCTTCTTTCCAAAGTGTATCAGAAGCTTTTTCTATATGAAAAAAGACTGTAATTTCTGATTCTTTATTAGTTTGAGCTTTTCTTATCTCAGACTCAAGACATAACACAGGGTCCGTTGTATTTCTCCCTTTCCTGAATCCACTTTGATTTGGTGATAGAAGATGATTAAATTATAAATAACTATATAGCCTTTCAGTGATTATGTTTTCCATAGTTTTTCCTAGTTGTGAATTTAAAGCAATTGGTCTATAGTTTGAAGGATTTGAATGATCGTTACCTGGTTTTAATATTGGAATTATTATTGAATTTTTCCATGAGTTTGGTATTTGACCACTATCCCAAATTAAATTAAACAAAATTAATATTACTTTAATAGAATTCTCACCCAAATGTTTTAACATATTGTAACAAATATATTTTCCAGGGGATGATTGTTTAGTATTCATTAGAGCTTTTATTTAATTCAAATAATGTTATAGGTCCATCTTCCTCCATTGACAGGTTTTCTGTTGACTATATTTGGATGTTTTTTAATGTATTGTCCCTCAACTTCTTAACATTCTCTGAGATATTATGTGAACTGTGTGTTTTAATCAGAGTTTTAACTAATAATTCTGCTTTGTCTAGATTGTTTATTGCAACAGTGTTTTCATGTTTGATTATTGGGATTTCATATTTCCTAGTTATTCCATTCATCTTCCTCATCATCCCCCACACATCTGATCATTTTGTTTCTCTCCCTGTGGTAGAGCAGCATTTTTGCCAGTATTCTCTTTTTGCTTTTCTTATTGTTCTTCTAACAATTGCTTGTTTCTTTTTATAATATATTAACTTTTCAACTGTATGTTGAACTTTTAGTTGTTTTAATGCTTTATTCCTGTCTTTAATAGCTTTTTTACCTTCCTCATCCCAGCAAGGAACATTCTTTTTAATTCTACTGCCTGTACTTTTTGGAATCGTTTTATTTGCAGTCTGTATAATTATTGTTGTTAATTTTTTCATGTAGTGAACCTGATCTGGCCCTGATCTGACCCTGATGACCTCAAATCTATCAGATGGACAGAGACTGTTATTTTCATTGATCTGAATAAGTCTGAGCCATCTGATGACTTTCTTTCTTGAATTAATCAAGCAGAAAAGACAATCCTCTATAATCATTACTGTTTTACAAATGTTTGATAATCAAATTGTGTTAGTTCCATTCAATGCTTACAGGTTGAAAAAGAACTACTCATTTTATTTTACATAAACAGTAAGTAATGATTTTTATTCCTCATTCAAAGAAGAAATCAGGTTAATATGTATTTCTTGATTTTCTGTCTTCAATGAGCAAGCTGTCGTAAGTATGTGAAAGTTGAAGCTTCGGTCAACTAAATGTTTACTGAAAATGGGATGTCATGTTTTACTATTTGGAAAGATACAACAGAGTGAGGCTCCAAAAAGTCTGGTATTCTGCAATAATCTTTTCTGTATGTTGAAAACAAATTCATTCCCTGACCTCGACTTTTGATAATACCTTACGTCAAAAAACACACCTCTTTCTGGTACATCCACGAATCAGAAAGCTCTAAATTGAACCGGAAGTCGACCCATTTAAAATGTGGCAACTTCCCAGTTCAGGTTAGAATTTGTTAGAATTCATGAAGAATTCATGGAGAATGGTGAAGTGAATGGAAGAGAATTCGAGAATTCAGGAGAGTCAGAGACGTTTAGAATTATAACTTCTGTTTGAACAACCCACGCACGACTATCTAAGGATTTCAGCAGCTCTCAACGGAGACGCTGAAAGGTCTGGAGGATTCTCTATCGAGCTGATCTATCATCAACCAGGTAACGGTCTCTTCTTCGACTAAAGTGTACCGGAGGCGAGCTGAGATCTGATGAAGCGTGCACGTTCTGGTCTACAGATATTAATTCCCTCACATAGTTCTCTGTAAGATAAATCTCCATTTCATCTTAAACTCTTCTCTCTCTCACAAAACCAGTACAGATATTTTAGAAATATCTGAAGCAAAGTCCTCGTTCACCGCCGAGTGATCGATGCTCATTTTCTGTGAAACTTGTCTGTTATTATTTTCATATTTTGCCAAATTAATGTAAATGTTTGATGTTAAGCTTTGATTCTGAAAATAAATGACCACATTCATTTGATGGGTCAAAGATAATAACGTCTCTCGTTCGCATTTCTGTTAAATTCAATGCACGGCATTACACAGTCAGAAAGATGAAGAACTCGTGAAAATTGTATGCATATATCTCATATATTTGTCATACTACAACTAGTGACACGTACCCACGTGACTCACTACATTCATTTAAATCTTCAATATCTTTAATATTTTCTTTAATCATTTCTCTACATTTCTCTACATTCACAAGATGGCCGCGCTCAGAGCAGTTGCAGCTTCACAGGCTCCCGGTACCATCCCAGTTTTTAGAAGTTTTGATATCGACTCTGTGCCTGACTCCGCGCGATTTATGCGTGTGAACTATAGCCGAACCGAACTGATGAGAATAGGAGCGGATTTGCCACGAAATATAGCAGAAATCAGCAACAAACTCAAAACTACGCTCGGCAGAATGCAGATCTTAAAGTCATCTACCTGGAAGCTGCAGCAGAGGCGTTCCAGCGGGCAGAAGAGGAAGCGCTGCTCCCGGCTTAAGAGGAGAGGATGCCGGACGGGGGTTATGGTGAGGCTACGAGCTAACGCTAAAGCCGGTAAACTCCCCATGCCGTCGCTCTTTCTGTCGAATGTCCGCTCGTTGGACAACAAGATGGATTTACTTCGTCTGAGAGCGGGCGCCTCAGAAGAGATGAAGAAGTGTGCGGTGCTTTGCCTCACGGAAACGTGGATTATAAGTGAAACGCCGGACTCAGTCTTCCAGCTGGATGACAGACTTTTTTTTCGAGCAGACCGCTGCAGCGAGCTAACGGGGAAATCACGGGGAGGCGGAGTATGCATTTACAT